AATACTGCTGCAACCATTTTAGAATTGACTTTGATAAAATTTCACTTGCATAGATTAGTGATAATAATTGTTTAATATTTTCTGCATTCTGTTAGATATGTTTAGATGGGACACAAATGTACATCTCTGCCAGTGATAATAATTGTTTAATATTTTCTGCATTCTGTTAGATATGTTTAGATGGGACACAAATGTACATCTCTGCCAGTTACCCAGGTAGCTGTCATCCAAATTCCTTGGTTTAGATGAGTGAGCATCTCCAGTTCTGCAACTGTTTGCTGACACATTTCAATTGGTATTCTGTCACTGCTGGAAGTCTTGTTTTCTACCAGTGTCTTCAGTGCAGCTTGAATCTCTTCCTTCATTACTATAGATTTTTGATCGTATACTACTTCCTGGAGAGCTGCACCTCAACCAGTTCTTTTTGGTATAGTGATTCTGCATATTCTTTCCTAACACTGGTTACACATTATTTAAAACTAAGGAGTTTTGGTGAAATGGTGGTTAAAGAGCTGGCTCCTACCTCATTAGCCACTGTGTGGGAGAAGGATGAGGGTGGTTCACTTCTAAAAAGGTTTACATCCTTGGAAACTATCTTGTTCTTCAGGGTCACAATGAATCAGAATTGATTCAATAGCTGTGGTTTTGATTTGGTTTCTTAAAAGCTACAGTATTTATGAGAATTTAAACAGTTTCCTCCACTAATGTCCTCCCCCCTCCCCTTTTCTTGTTGTGTTCCGTCGAATCGAATCTGACCAGCACAGAAGGAAACTGCCCCTCCTTCTCCAGAGGAGCCTCTGGTGAATTCGAACTGCATGCCTTTGAGATTGCAGCGCAGCTTCTTGCCACTGGGCCACCAGAACTCCCTACTAATGTCCTTTTTATAGTTCAGGATCCAATTCAGGATCAACACAGCAGTTTGCTTTCATGTTTCCTTAGTCTCCCTAGGTTGTGACAGTTTCTTATCACTTCATTGCCATTCATGATCTACCTTGATCATTGTGAATAATATAAAACCTGTTGCTAAACTGATTCCAACTCACAGCAACCTTGTAAAACAGAGCAACGACACACCTTCCCAAGGATGCAAACATTTACAGCCTGTCGCAGCATTCTCCTGCACATTACCTGGTGGGCTCACATGCCAGACCATTTGGTTTGCAGCTGAGCATTTAACCAATCTTCCACTAGCGTCCTTTTTTGAAGAAAAATGGTCAGGTTTTTTTTGTTTGTTTTGGTTGTTTTTTTTGAAAGTGTCACAGTTGACTTTCTCCGGTGTTTACTCATGGTTGGACAAGGGTTATGCATTTTGACCAGGATAGAAGTCCTTTCTCTATGTATCATATTGGGGCATGTAATAGCAATACATATTTTTAAAATTTTTTTATTATTTTGTGTGTGCGTGTACCATCAAATCAGATTTGACTGGTACAGGAGGAGATTGCCCCTCCTTCTCCAGCAGAGCATCTGTTGAACTCAAAGTGTGTACCTTTGGGATTGCAGTGCAGCTTCTTGCCACTAGGCCACCAGAGCTCCCTTGATACATAATTTTTTAAGTAGTTCGTCAACAATCCACATTATGCAGATGACACACCTTGCCCTGAAACTGAGGAGGACCTGAAGCACTTGCTATAGAAAGTCAGGTCTTCAATATAGATTGAAACTCAACATAAAAAAGACAAAGATTCTCACCAATGGGCCAATTGCCAGCACCATGATGGGTCGAGAGGAGATTGAGGTTGTTAACAATTATAGTTTGCTTGGCTCCATAATCAACACTCTTGGCACCGGTAGTCAGGAAATCAAAAGATGAATTGCAGTAGGAAAATCTACTGTCAGGGACCTCTCCAGAGTACTGAGAATCAACAATGTCAGTCTAGAGACTAAGGTGTGCCTGATCCAGGCCATGGTCTTTGGAATTATTTGCTATGCATCAGAAAGCTGGACAATGAGTAAGGATGACAGAAGAATTGATACCTTCGAACTGTGGTGCTGAAGAAGAGTCTTGAACATACCATGGACTGCCAAGAAAACAAATAGGTCTGTCTTGGAGAGGGTGAAACCAAGTTTCTCCCTGGAGGCTAGGATTTTGAAACTCCCTCTCAGCTACTTTGGGCACATGGCCAGGAGGGACCAGTCCTTGGAGAAGGACATCATGTTTGGAAAGGAGGAGGGACAGCGCAAGAGAGGAAGATCCCAGATGAGATGGACTGAAATAGTAACTAACTGAGGCAATGGGGGTAGGTGTGTTGGAGTCAGTGAGACTGGCTCAGGACAGGGCAGGTTCAGAGCTGCTGTACATAAGGTTGCTGTGGGTCACAGGTGACGCAATTGTACCTAACAACAGCAGTTCAAATGAGTTAGTTGGCTTAATTCTAGGCGGTATAGAATTCTGGGCATAACAAAAACTGAAGAGTAGATTCTGACAGGACTGTGTTACTTTGACTGACATGGATGAATTAGAAGAACTGAAGAAATGAACCACAGTGCCCTGCTTGTGCTGTCAGTTACTCTCAGAGGTGGTTCCTTTTTCTTTTGTTTTTTTAAACAAAAGCTTGTTCTCAGTACAACAGACTCCAAGACACCAAACACTGCATGCTAACTACAAGTGGCAACAGATACTATAAAAAAAATTCAGATGTTTAAATAGGAACAGAAGCAGATTCATCATCGCCTAAGTCACAGGTTTCTTAAGTCTACCACCTGTGGCGAGAGGGCCTTCGCTTTTGGCTCGAGTTTCTTCTGCTCTTCATTTGGTTTCTACTTGAGAGCCTTATCTTCCTGGACCATTTCCTTGGTCAGCTTCTGGGGTTGGTGCAGGGACTTCTTGCAGACTCGTGGCCAGCCATGGCGCCGGACATTCCTTCCTCAGACATGCCACCGAAAACCAAGCTCCCAAGCCCCCTGTGCCTCTACCATTGCACTCAACACAGCTAATTCCTGGTTAGGTAAATCTCGATTACTTGATTGAGGTCCCACCTTTATCTCTCTCCCTTTTTAATAATTTGATTCTTTAACTATGGCAACGGAAGAGTTATTGTGCACCTTATATCCAACCACAACTAAGTACAGAATTAGTCTCCAATATCAAAGGTCCAGGGCTAGTTTCAAAGAAGGAAGGAGGCCTCTCAGAGGTGTTCATGGAGATCAAATGGCGATGGAAGCTCTAGATCCCTTGAGACGGAAGTTCTAGACAGGCGCATGCAGTTAGATTGGCACCACGTCCCCCACCTGTGGCAGTCTCTCCTTCCGCTGCTGTGGCTTCTGCAGGCCCTCACGTTCATGTCTACTTGGACCTCAGCCTTGTCCTTCTTTTATACTTCAGCCTGCACATTCACTTTGTCCTCCACGAGGTCCTCGTGGGTCAGAGGCCTCAAACAAGATGGCACAAAAGTCAAGAGACAGGCTGCCTTTATCTTCTGATAAAGGAGGAGGACTTTTTCTTCCTACTCTTGTTCTCTTTGATTATGTCCTCTACCCTCAAATAACCTCTATTTTTAACAAAATCCCCATAAAAAACCATGAACCTACTGCTTTGGGGTAACTGGCTAGTACAAAAGGGGACCCACTAATTTTTTTTTTTTAAATTTAGGTTGTTTATTTTTCATTTCAATGAACATCTACAGAGATTTTGGAATTCCATTCATTCATTATTGCACCCAAGCCCCACCCCCTACCCCCAAATATAATCCACTCTGCAACCCTCATTGCATACTCCTACGATAAAAATAATGCCCTAAAATATAATACTTTGGACCCACTAATTTGCTGAGAAGTGTATGGTTTAAGTTCACTGCCAGGTACATTGGAAGAAAGGCTTGATAAGTCACTGAAACTATATAAAGTACAGTTCTCCGACACACACAGGGTTGTCACGAGCTAGGAGAAACCTACGCCAACAGGCTGGGGTTATTCTTTCAAATTAATTTTTATAAGCAGACACAAATGATAAGAATAACTCTACCAATCACCGTACTGGTTTCCACTAATCAACAGGTGGGAAGCGGGAGGCAGCTGGGAGTTAATACCTATAATTTAGTGTAAAACTACACCTCTCAATCCTAAAGAGAAAAATGTGAACAAGAGCTTTGGTTGTTTTTCTTTTTTTTTTTAAAAAAAGACAAGGTTTACATATCATGAAATTCAAACCTTTTAAAGGGTATGATTCAGCAGATATTTAAAAAATTTATTTTAAAAACCATGAAAGAATTTTTCTTTTACTTTTCAAAGAGAAAAGTGTACTGCAGCGTACAGGGAGAAAAGTGCAACAATGAATGAATGGAAATCCAAAGTCTCTGTCAATTTTCATTGAAATTAATAATAAAAAATTTAAAAAATATATTTTAGTATATCTTGAGTATATTCTAGAATATTTTTATTAACTTCGAAGAAATCCTCTCTCTGTTAGTCTCCCCTGCTCAGCCCTTTCCCTGGTCCTTGGCAACCTCTAACTTACTTTCTGTCATGATAGATGTGCCATGGTTCTTTCAATCCCAAATTAGTCCCAACCAAAACGATCTTAGACAAGTGAACCTGGGAGACGGATGCACATGTGTGTACACACACACTTTCCTCACTGCGTCTCAGAGGTGACTCATCTATAGCGTCCCTCTTCAGGACACACTCAGCCCACTTTCCTTTCTTCTGTGTCTAACCACGAGGTGTTTCACTAGTGTCCTGCACCTGTCAGATAATGTTGAAGCAAAGCAATCTTTGCTAAGGTGCAAAGAAGTAAAAGATTGACTTGTCAGCAGAGACTGTTTGAAGTCTAAAGCCTCAGCAAACATGACCATAAGATTCAGTCTGCTGGGCACTTTCTGTTTGGGCCTTTTGCCCTGGCTTAATCATTAACAGCATCACATAATCAAAACAAAATCACTAATAATGGCTATTAAAGGTGTTTTGATAGATGAGGAAAATAATTTTATGTAAATGAAGTCTTCAGTATTTCCAATACCATACCCCAGTTCCACACACGTATATAGTTCAAATTTACCAACCTGTAGGGATCAGTGTTTCATCCACAGGTAGAAAAGCATCAGCTTCTATAGTGACTTCATGATCATATACATTTGGAGAACCCTAGGAGATAGAAAGTAGAGAAAGAAGACTTAATGCTTGACTTCATTTTATAACATTTGCGTTAGAATTTGCCAAGATATTTTTAGACACTGACAAAAACTTAAGAAACTCCTATAATGTGGTGAGATAAGAACTTTTACACATTGTTGGTGGAATTATAAAAAGGTACAACTACTCTGGAAGTCAGTTTGGTGCTTCCTCAGAAAAATGAAAATAGAAATTCCATATGACCCAGCTACTCCACTGCTTTGAATATATCCCAAGAAAATGAGAACTGAAGCACAAATAGAGGCTTGTACACCAGTATTCATAGCAGCGTTATTCACCATCGCAAGAACATGGAAACCGCTCAAATGAGAAATTATGGTACAGTCACATGATGGAATACTGTGCAGCATACAGGAGCAATGATTTTGTAAATTACCTAACTTGGGAGGGACTGGAGAGCATTATACTAAGTGAACTAATTCAGTCGCATAGGACAAATACGAAAGAAGGCCATTATCGTAGAAATGTATGAGGATCTGAGGAGGGTAAGGGGGAGCAGAGGGGTGAGGATGGGGGGTGTTGGTTAATCATAGGGTTGCACAACTTAATGCGTGGAGAGAGGGGTGGGTAAAGGAAATGGGAAAGATCTGCTGTGAAAAACAATGTATAAAAACTTTGTGAGTAAGCCAGTATAAAATAAAAATTTTTAATTTTAAAAAATAAAGTTGAAAAAAAAGACACTCCTTTAGACCTACTGTTGTTATGTGTCATCAAGTTGACTATGAATCACAGTGACCGTATGAGCATTGGCTCTGACCCCTGCCCTATAAGCCATCTTCACCAGCTCTGACACTATGCTAACAATTAAATATGTCCGCTCAGGTACAGGGAGGTTGGTGGTGCATGCCATCAAGCGGCATCGAACTCACAGAAACCCTACTACAGTAGAATTGCTCGGTAAGGTTTCTGAGGTTGCAATCTTTATGTGAACAAACAGTCTCATCTTCTCCTGTGCAGGAGGGCCTTAAAATAGCAACTGATGAATATTGAGGACATTTTCAAGTGTGATCCCAGAATGCACTTTTTTTTCTAAATGAAATTACGAAGGTGAAAAGGCAGAGGGAGGGATGACAGTGGTTTAAAAGCCTTTGGGACTTTGAGGCATATTTTCTACACCTCATGTATCAGGAATCCCAAGGAGCAAGAGTCGGGGACCAGCGTGTTGGTCACAAGCCCTGGACAGCCAAGGTGCTGCCTCCGGGCTTTCTACAGGAAATATATCTGCCCTTCCTCTGGTCAAGGTCCCACCCACTGTCTGCCACACGAGTCTCTCTGTCAGCACACCAGTTTGAACAGAGTCTCTGCCATTGGGAAACTGACCACTTGCTACGCAAATATGCAGCCTGCCCTCCTGAGAGAGCCAAGGTTTGTACAAAAAGCACCTGCCAGCAGTCAGAAGGCCTGAGGTCTAGTTCTCAGTGACTGGCCCACAAAGCCACTTCTCTTCCACAAATATCTTACCTTTAATATACTAACTGGGATAATAGTGCCTTCAAATTTCTTGTGAGAAACATCTCAGTAATGATGTGTTGTGATGTTTGCAAGTGAGAAAATACCTCATACCTGTACAGTTCTTATTCAGAAGATTCTGAAGCTTCATCTGACATACTTTGGGCATGTAGCAAGGAGGGACCAGTCCTCAGAGAGGGACATTATGCTTGGGAGGGTGGAGGGACAGCACAGTAGAGGAAGACCCTTGATGAGATAAATTGACGCTTTGACTGGAGTTATGAGGGTAGGTGTGTTGGGAGACAGTAACGTTGGCTCAGGATAGAACACGGTTCAGAGCTGTTATACATAGGGTCGCTACTCTACGGCACATAAAAACAACAGCAATTTTGTATTAATAGTGTTGTTGTTGTTGTTGTTATATACCGTCAAGTTGGAACTGACTGGTAGCTGACCCTCTAGCAGGTTTTTGGAGGGCATACACATGGAAGGAATGCCCATCTTTCTCCGTGGAGCAACTGGTGGATTTGAACTGCAGGCCTCTGGGTTGCCAATGCAGCTTCTTACCACTAGGCCACCAGGGCTTCCTTTATTCATAGTAGTGTGTTAAAGCTTTATGACAGAAGATATGGAAAAGGAAGGAGGGGAGGAACTTAGTGAATGCTCAAGAATAAGTACTCTCCTGGGTGTAATTTTGCCTGCCTCCCTCATCCCTCAGCAAACATTTAAGGAACGTCTGGAGACAATTTTGGTTGTCGTGACTGTGGGAAGGTGGGAGAGTGTTCCTGAAATCTAGCTTGTAAGATACCACAGATGCTGTTCAACCTTCTACAGTGCACTAGACAGTCTAAGGACAAAGAATTATCCCATCTAAAACAGCAGTGGGAACAAGGTTAAGAAACTCTGTGCTGAAGTAAACCAAAACCTCAGCTAGGGTCTCCTGAAGTCACCTGAGAGAGGAAAAGGCCTCCTGGATCACTGGTACACATTCTATGGTCAGAAAGACTCATGCCCACACTATCAAATGAGTGTTCTGGAGGAGAAAGGCTGGTTTTAGAGCCAAGAGAAAGAAACTCCACAGAATTTGGTTTAGTCACACTAAGCTCTCTTTCTGAAGACCACCACAACAGGAATCGTGAGCCTCTCTCAGTTCTCCCAGCAGGTACAGGCAAGGTAGGGTTAGGCATGGTGGGGCCGAGGCCAGGGCCCAGGCCTCTCTTCCACTCTCACTGCTTAACAGACAGGTAGATCCAAAATGGAGGGGGCACAGACATCAAAGAAGTCACTGGGAATGTGAGGAGTAGAGACAAGGGAAGAATTTGGGACTGAAGCCTGATGAAACACTTCATCTTGGAAAACCTGAGTTCAATTCCTAGACAAAGACCCTCACGTGCACCAACCCTGTCAGCGGAGGCTTGTGTATTGCTATGATGCTGGACAGGTACTTTCACACTATGATGGAGTAGGAAGAAAGGCGTGGCGGTCTGCGGCCCACAGCTGATCATAGGGATGGGTGCAGGACCCGGCAGTATCTCTGGAGTTGCCATGAGACACAGCCAGTTTGCCAGCAGCTGACAACAGTTGCTAACTGCTCTGCTTAAAGTGGAGGCTTTTGTTCAGAACAGATAAGAGTGTGACAGGCTGAGCACAAGGCCTTGGAGGAACTAGGTCTGAGCCACAGTCCACGTGGAGAGCTAAGAATCCCCAACAAGGAAAGTCTGGCCTGAGGGAAATGACCACACCTTTCTGGTAGACGTCCAAGACTTTGAGGAACACAAATGCCTTTTCTTAGGCATATCCTCCTCCCATGGCAGCGACCTCATGCTTCAGCATTTCCTTAGAAACCCAGGGCCTCTCTCACTGTCATCCAGTGAGCAGGCCTGGACCTGGAGGGAGTGAGGTCTTTCTCTGGCCTCCTGGCCGGGCGCTTAGCCAGGTCTTCGCTATTTCCTCAGCTGCAGCTTCTCTTTTTGAAAAATAAGTAAGAAAATATTTCCTTACACAAAAAATGCTTCATATATATTTTATAAAGAATGAAATTCATATTTTGAGAGTATAACTGACAAACATATGTATCCTCATTAAGATATACATTTTCTTTCCCCTACAGTTCTCCACAGCCTTCCTTCCAGTTAACACCCAGCCCCCACCAAAAATAATCTGATTTCTGTCCGTTATACACTAGCTTTGTTTGTTCTACGACTTCAGGTAAATAGAATGATATGGTGGACATCCCTTTGTACCTTGTTTGACACCAAAGAATGCTTTTGAGGTCCATCCACCGTATTATGTGCATCAGGAATCTTGGTGGTATAGTAGTTAAATGTGATGAGTGGAAATTAACTTAATGACAACGGGTTGAGATTGTGCATAAATAATGGGCTCCTTTCTGTTGTTGAAAGCTATTTCCTTCTATGACTATACCACAATTCATTCACCCATTCTCCTGCTGACAGACGTTTGGGTTGCTTGCAGTTTTTACTATGTTGAATAAGGCTGCTTTTTGTTGTCAGTTACCATGAAGTAGGTCCTGATCCAGCGACCCTGTGTCTGTATATCAGAATGAAATATTGCCTGGTCCTGGAAATACTTTTTCCTGCTTATGTTTTCACAATAAGGCAAGAAGCTGATGATTTAGCATGAAAATCACACATCAAGTAAGCCAGTGTGCCTGCGATGGAAGAAGCCTGGGAGGAAATAGGGAACATTTATGGAGCACCCCCTATCTTAATGGCCGTCAGGTCACTAAGCAGCACTGACTTTATTAAAGTGAAGCATGCTTCATGTTATGACTCTATCTGCCTTCCTGGAAGAATGCTTCATCTGTTCTGGTGGAATATATTACTATTGGATTCATTTCCTTTCAAAGTCGGTGAAAACTTGGCATGAAATGTTGATTCACAAATAGATTTTCAAATCCATCTCTGAGTTCAGTGTTTGTTTTAGCTAACTCTGCTCGGTTGTGACTAGTTTTGTAACATTAACCATTTATAGAATATTACGGCTTGCATGGAGTTTCAGAGACCTTTCTGTGCATTGCCACTGTTGTATTGCTGATACCACTGTCTTAATCTTATCAGCTCTAGCCGAGTATAACATCCAAAGCCAGAGCAACCCTAATCCTATCACATTCCCTTACTCTTGGAAGAATCCTGATGTTTATTCATTTTAATTTAATCTGTTATTGTTGGGTGCCATTAGACCTCACCCAATGCATAGCTGACCCACTAGCTCGGAATCAGAGTTCACACAACAGCACCTAACTGCAACAAAGCTAACTATGAAGGTTTATTCTGCTTGTTGCAGAAGATCAATGTGAATTATATCTCAATGTGAATTATATCTTAACATCAAGAAAACAAAAATCCCCACCACTGCATTAATAGGCAATGTCAAGATAGATGGAGAAAAGACTGAAGTTGTCAATAATTTCATCTGATTTGGATTCACAATCAACATCAAAAGAGATGTTGCACCGAAAAAAAAATCTGCCAAGGGTCTCT